AAGAAAGAAAGAAAGAAAGAAAGAAAGAAAGAAAGAAAGAAAGAAAGAAAGAAAGAAAGAAAGAAAGAAAGAAAGAAAGAAGATGCTTAGTTTACACAGCCTTTGCCTGCTCATTAATGAGATTAACTTACTTAAGCAAAGAGTACATATCCAAGAGGTTGTTCTGAATGGGTGTTCCAGTTACAGCCCATCTGGCAGTAGCTCTCAGTTTATAAGCAGCTATTGAGGCCTGCACTTTCGGGTTTTTGATATTGTGGGCTTCATCCAGTATAATTCGAGCCCAGCATATGCATACAAGAGGACAGGAGGGAAATGATTTATCCTATAGAAATAGATTTCAGCATTAGTTTGCAAAAATGTTAGCACATTTGAATTTAATGTATCTAGCAGTGTACATGAAAGGCTATCTTTTCTCAACATACATGGTCTAAAATGTACTGCAATACTTTTTTGAACTGAAGACATCAGAATAATAAAAAGTATGAAATTAATTGGATCCACAAACTTGTCTGAAAATTGTAGATCAGGTCAATATGTAAAGAGCTTTTTTAAAAAAGATCAAAAGTATCTTAATCAGAAACATTAAGAAACCATTTAACTCCTTCAATTAATGCCATAAAATTTACTTGTAATATGAACATCATGTTTTAGAGTTCATATTATAATAGACATAAAATTAATTTTTAAATTAATCTTTAAATTAACTTTTACTACTTGCTTTTATAGCATATAATTAAGATTACAATGAGAATTATTTCAGTTCAAATACAGACAAGCCAGAAAAGTCATAAAGATAATCCACTGAATTGTAACAAATGAATCTGTAACCACTCCAGCATAAATCATTTTATATCAAGGTTCGTAGGTCTGTCTGTCTATCTTTAAATATAGTCTTTTATTTCAACAGAGATTCCTTGTTTCTCTTTTAAAATCAGTTTTGCGCATTTCAGTCACCTGAAGTAGACAATCTTCAGCAACATCTATTTCTTCTTTTTGTATAGGAATTTCCTTGGCTAGAATACTGTAAGTAGTGATAACAATCTCATATTGAGAAAGGCTGCAAAGACAAAGAGAAATAGTAAAGAACCTGGCACCTCAGACTTATCTTTCTGTTTTTAATTATAATGTTGATGAATAATAAACGTGACTGCTTTCAAAGTTTCTAATGAATTGTATGTTTCTGCTCACTCTTTTCTTCCAAACATGGGGGATGGGACCAACAAATCAGCAGACAGCTGCTTCTAGTTCCACCACAAAATTACGTCACACCTCATCTTAAGGAAACTGGGACAGTATTTTTATCAGCTTCACAAAGATGTACCGGAGCACAACTGCTAACAACAAATATAGAACCGTAGATCACAAATATTTTTTATGAAAAATTTAGGGGATTCCAAATCAATTTTCCAAGGAAACTTTGTACTGAATAAATCTATATACTTAGTTATATCCTTGAATAGCTCTGATAAAAGCACTGGCCATAGAGTAAGCTAAGATACTCATCACTAATGATGACTGAAGATGACTGCTGAGCTTAGAGGCCTAAGTCAGACCTGAAATGTCAGTGTGTGCTTTTATTCTTAAATGGCTTTACAGGCATGCTTTTCTTTCAGCATCCAAACATATCAAAGCAATAGCATAGGGCAAAATACATTACATCTTAGAATTCTTGTTACTTACATACTAGCATTCTTAATTCGGTTAGGTCCATGGTACAAGCACACTTTCAGCTTGCCATATTTTACATGTTTTTCCACTTCCTTTTTCCAGTGATGAATCAGAGATGCAGGACAGACAATCAAGGTACCGTGTGAACAGGTATCAATAGAACCTGAAAATGCAAACGTTACTAGGTGAAATGGGATGTAAACAAAGTACCACAGTGCATAGTATGTCTCTTCAGGATTCTTGCCCCTCATGTTTTCCCTCCCTAACATCAACTTTAGATCTTTCTTAATGGTCAGTATTTCATGGCCACAGATCTTGGCTAATCCTGTTTGTGGAGAGGAGAAGGAACTCTTTTCCTTAGTATTTTTTCCCTACAGTTTTAATATTTCACCTAATCTAGTGATCAATCCTGCCAATACCTAACTTACCTGCATAAATAGTTCATGAAGATATTTTAAATAGTTCAGGAAGATATTTTAAATAGTTCATGAAGATATTTTAATCAGAAACAATCCAATTACACTGTATAAATGAATTGACAGATCGTGATTTTTATTTTACCTTGTTTGGACATACAAAGCTCTAATTTCTTCTCTTTTTCTTTTTCTGTGCACTTTTGGGCCAGGATGAGGGCAATCATTGTTAAAGTCTTCCCTAAGCCCATATCATCCGCTGGAAAGAAAAAAACAGAAAACAAAAATACGGATTTATGTACATGGGTACCTTAATTCTGATTCATCTTTGAGTCATTTTCCATATGATCCTGTTTTCCACTAATAATTCTATATTTTTCCATTTTTATGTAAAAATAAAAAAGTTGAATGGATGGATTAAATTTTGTCTATAAAAATGGCTAAAGTGCTGATTGGAGCTGAAACCAAATCCACTTCTGATAATTAAAATTAAAATCCTACTGTAAATTATATTTCCACAAAGAGTATGTGTAAATAGGAAAAGTTTAACCTTTTTAAAAACTGAAAGGCAGAATTCAAGGAGGAACTTGTTGAACTTTACTAAGGCCTAAAAAGGATGGAGTTTAATACTGCTGAAACAGCTTCGGATAAACAGCAGGAAATTTCAAAGAAGAAATAGAGAGAACATAAATTTTCAATATTAAAAAAACTAGTTTTTTTCTGCTCAATTGTTTATTTTCACTGAAGTTCAAAGCCTAATTGTGTCTACTTCTCTGAAAAAGATATTAAATTGGTTGTCAGCTTTCTTCTCATTCTTCTTCAGGCTGGACATGAAGTTACTCACTTTATTTAGGATAGTCTATGATCTGACATGTACTTTAGGATCTTAGCAATATCTCTTTTGTAGAATATGGGGCTATATATAACATGAACACCATGAACTCTGGGCTTTCAGGTCTCCCGCCTTTTAACCTATGGGCACAGCGATTTTGCTACACATATATTACCCAGAATTCCTCCACATGGCTTCTGATTCTCCCTCCACAAAAGCCAACTAAGGGCTTGCTTTTGATGCAGCAATAGAGAGATCTGGAAAAAAAAAAGAATCAACTGCTATTGTAAGATCTAATGTTATTTTGTAATTATACATAAATATAGTAAGTATTGGTAATCTGTGGTACTGAAGGTCTCTCTTAAATCCCACAATGAACTAGTCCGGGTGTCAGCAACCTGCAGCTCCTGAGCTGCATGCGGCTCTTTGGGCCCTCTGATGCAGATCCCTGTCCCATCACTGGCTTCCCCTGCCCCTCTCCCTCCCTTGCCTGGCCTGAGAAGATAAGGGTGATGGCAGGTATGGAGAAGCGGCTGGGGCCGATTCTCTGGCGCCTCACTCTTGCTGGAGCTTCTTCCAGCCCTTGTTGATGCTGGGTGTGCCTTGGTCACTTGAGAAGATGTGCAACCTGCACTCCGCCCCGAGACACTACCCCGGCCACAACCAACGCCATCCTCGCTAACACGAGAGCTGGCGGGGTGGGAATGGGATCTAGGAGGATAGGATGATGGAAAGGGGGAATAGACCCGCAGTACCCAGCCGCGGCTTTAAGAAGCTCAGGGCAGCAGGAAAAGGGGGCCGGCCCTACCAACCTCGCATGTCCACCCTTGGGATCAGGCTCAGAGAAAGCCAGAGCGCTCGCCCGTCAGCCAGTTTCCCCCTCTCTATGTCTCTCCCTCTGTATGTGTGTTTCTCTCTCACGCTCTGTCTCTGCATCTCTTCTCTCTCAGAAAGCCAAGGCTGGGCCAAGCCAGCAAGCTCTCTTTGGGGTTCTTGGTTACTCCTTTTATTTCTTCTTTTTGGAAATCCAGGCTGGTGAAGAACTATTGCCAGCCACGGCAGAGGCTTCCCTTCGGATGACCCCTCTCCTCCTCCTCTTGCGACCCCCTGGCTGGCTTGCTTGAGGAGGGTCTCCCCACGCATGCGACAGCAAGACGACATGGCAAGGCGATGGCCAGAGCCTTAGTACAGGAGAGAAGCTGTGTCCTGTTAAGACTCTCAAGTGAGCGGCCAACTGTCCCGTGTGCGCCTTTCCTGCGCTTTGGTGCTCGCTTGAGGAGGGTCTTCCCATGCATGCACACCTTCCTGGCCCCGCCACATCTGGCCAGGGGGATGTAAGACAAGGAGGGGGAGGAGGGTCACCCGAAGGGAAGCTTCTGCCACAGCTGGTGATTGTTCCTCGGCCAGCCCGGATTTCCAAAAAGAAGAAATAAAAGGAATAGCCAAGAGCCCAAAGAGAGCTTGCTGGCTTGACCCAGCAGCGGCTTTCCGAGAGAGAGAGAGAGAGAGAGAGAGAGAGAGAGAGAGAGAGAGACAGACAGACAGACAGACAGACAGACAGACAGAGACAGAGAGACAGAGAGGGGTGGAAAGAGAGAGAGACATAGACACACACACAGAGTGATACACAGAGAGAGGGGGAGAGACGTAGAGAGAGAGATATAGAGGGAGAGAGACAGAGAAATGGGGGAAGAGATAGAGAGAGGGGGGAAGAGGGTAAGATAGGGAGAGAGACAGAGAGAGAGAGACAGAGAGATTGAGGGCGGGGAGAAAGAGACATAGAGAGAGCGAGAGAGAAGGGTTTTGTGGCTGGGTAGGCATTGCTAAGGGGTCATGTGACTGTGTGAGAGTGACATTGAATTGGCCACCGCCCACCCAGGTTTTGTGGATGCCAGTGTTTTGTTTTGTTTTCTGTGGGAAACGGGTCCAAATGGCTCTTTGAGTATTTAAGGTTGCGGACCCCTGGTCTAGTCAACACAATTTATTTTTCCTTGCTACTGACAGACTACATTAAATAAAAAAAGTAGCTTCTCCTAAAAAATTACTAATATGATTAATATTAATATATTAATTTTCTCTCAATTATATAATGGTCTCAAGAGCTCACCTCTCTATCTCAAATATTCCAAAATAAAGAAATATTCTATTATGAACCCAACTTATAGGATTATTTTTATTAAACTGATTTTGGGTGACAAACAATACATCACAAACAATACACAAAAAAATCCCATGAATATTTAGGAGGCTGGACTGCATTTATCAGTTTATATTGTTAAGAATTTTAATTGTCCATTACATTTATATATAATTACATGTATTAATAATGTTAAGTTAAAGGTGTATAATACATGTAGTCCTAGGTTAACAACAATTGGGACTGGCAACTTATTGTGCTTATGATTTTACTTCAGTTTTCCTTTACTTTACAGACCTAAAAAGTTCATAAATGTAACGACCAGTAGTTATGTTACTTTTTCATCACTACCATAATTATGAAGGGTCACCAAACAAGTAATTGCTAAATGTAGACTACCTGTATGTATACTTCTTGTTTTTTTGTTTTTCCATAATACAAATATATATTATATGAATGATGATTGTTCAATATAGCCAAGTATTTGCATTGGATTAATGACAGAAATCATGCAGACAGATGTAGTTTGAAAATTAAGTTTATAAAATAAATGTGCCATTTTTTATGTTTAATTTGGATCATACATCTCTACAATTTTCTAAAATTCATAGATATTTAATGCTGCTGTTGCAACCCTAATAATTTTATGAGACCTCATTCTTTAACATTAGATGCCTACACAATTTTTAAACACTCTTATCGGAAATGAAAACAAAGCTTTAGTAGGCTTTATTGAAACCAGAATATTGTAAGCAAACTATTTAAATTCCATTGTCTCCTCCCTTGTGCAAAAATTCATTTTGAATTTTAGGGCACTTTATGAATAGTCTTTAAGTGGAACTGGTGACACATTGATTGAAAACATTGCAGGAAGTTTTCATTTTGTTTTCACTTACTTTCAATCCATGGGGATCTTCACTGATAGATGTCTCTGTGGGACAACTTTCAAGAGATTTGTGGAGCTGATTAATTGCATCACTTGTAGCATTTTGTACTGCCAGAAGTTTATCATTAGTCATTGGGCCTCCATAAAGCATCTTCCTTTTGAAATCATCTAGAAGTCAATTTCAGAAGTTATACAATTAGCAACCTTAAACTTGTTGTGCCATAGTGATTATTATAGGACCAGCCATCAAATAAATCAAGACAAGGTCTTCATGAAAATGTTATTTCATGAAAACTGATGAACAAAAACATATATTGCATTTATGCTTTTTCTTGTCTTTCCATTTGTAAACTTGAGAGTTAATTAAATAATGAGTTTTGATTTACTTCCATTATTAAACATATATTCCATATCCATTTCTGATATCAGTATGGTTATCCCTTTCCCCACATATTTTTAAAAGTATTGTGGCAGAACTGATTGGGTCCCCAAGGAAGAAGAACAGAACTAGGCACAGGATTCTTCTTGAAAATCTGTGGCTCTTTCCCCGTGACAGCACCTGGCTCCATTAGGTTGACTTTGGTGAACAGATCAGGCTGTATCTTCTTATGCCTCACATCTGCTGTACTGCACAAATTGTCTGAAACATGAAGAAAATAATTGTGACTGTCTTTTCCGGATAGGCTAATTTCAGAATGCAAATAGAAAAGAGTGTCCTACTAGTCACATATCAGCTATGATTTTATTCTGTAAAAATGGATCCAGGTGTTGTATTAGTGATGGGCACAACTCAGAAATGTTTCTATCTAAATAGATAGTTCAAGATAATTTAACAGCAAACACCTCACCAATATTACCCTGCCTGCTTTCCCAGGATTTATCTCTGGAGCCAACTATTGTGGAAATACAGTAGGTGAAACTTAAGAGAAATTGCATTATGCTACCATTCTGTTATTGAAAAGGCTTACCTTCCTTTGTACATTCTTCTGCTTCCAGATTCAAAGAGCTAAGGGCAGCTTCTAGTTCCTGCACTTGCTTTAATAATCGTTTACCTTTATCTGGGAGAGCTTGCACATTCACTGTTTTCAAAGTCCTCTATAGACAAATTTAAAAAACAAAACAAAGGGGAAAAAGAGAAGCTACTGATTACTTACCAATAGGCTAAGTCATTTAACTCACTTTTATTTTCTCCATAGGTGAAATATTTAAGAACTATATCATAAATGAAATGTGTTTATCAGAAAAAGGTTAATAATCCCAAACTCTTACTCATGTCTATGTTTCCCTTCCTTTCTAACCCTAAAAACTACCAGTATTTTCTGTGCAATCCACTGCTTGGTGGAAAAGAAAGCTTCTGAATGAAAGAAAAAAGGATAAAGCAATCACACACTTTGGGTTCCGGCCCCATGTATTACTTGTTTCAGCTCTACTTACAAATCTAGCCTTCAGCAAATTATTCCTAAGGCAATGCAACTATTAAAACTTATGCCTTCATTCTCAAGTGGACCATCAAAGACCTTTAAAGTGACTGCTGGTAATTTGTAATTAAATAACCGTTAAACAGCTATAATAGCCCAATCTGCCCTAGCAATTTAGTACGGAGTAAGAAACTAATATTTTAATACAGAAAATATTTTGGCTCACTGAAAAATTAATACTTAGATGCAAGATGAATGCAAGAAGATTAATACTTAGATGCAAGACCTGCTTCTGATTCAGCTGAGCTGAAAGTTGGCTGTGAAGAGTTTTGTTATCCATGCTGTTAGCCATCTGCAAAGAAGCTACTTCAGACAATACGGAAGGCGATTTTTTCTGAATGCAATCCTTTCCTTGCTGGGAATCAGTTGCCTGCCCATTGAATGACACAAGTGTTTCTTGTTTATCACTGTCCAAATGTTTCTCTGTATACTTTTGCTCTTCTGGAGTTTTCCCTGTCTGAAATAGTATTGGTGTTTTTGCTATACTGTCTCTAGCATGTTCTACTGAGAAGCTTCTTGGTTCTTGAAGAGTCACAAACTCTTTGGGTATCTGTGTTTTTCCTTCTGTTTTCCAGTTGTTACTTTTTTTCATTGTAACTATTTTGCTTGTACAGGTTTCTGATTCATCTTTTCCAAGTTTTTCTCCATTAATAGGTTTTATGCTTGATGTGTTGCAACTGAAGCTTGACAATGATAGTTTTGGATTTTCATTTTTCTGCAAATCATGTCCAGCAAATCTCAAAGATGAATCCTCTTGCATGTGGTTAGAAGAAATCTCAAATCTTTTGCTAGAATTACTTTTTTGTCTGTCTAACATTTTTTTGCTTTCAGTCTGAGGCTCACTTGATTTTATTTGAGTTTTTGTTTCTTCTCTGGATAAAGATTCATGTTTGCCTTCAAAAACTTTTTTTATGTGCATGGCTGATGAAAATTTTTTCTTGATAGACAAAGTCTTTAAATTGGGCAGTTGTTCTCCATCAGATGTCTGCACATCTCTTTTCTGATTTTCTTTTTCTCCTGAATTTCTATCTCCATCTTCATTAATTTGTTTGTAAGAAAATTGCTTGTGATTCCCACTGGAAACTTTAAATGGATTTCTTTCATTTGTATGATCATGCAGCAATTCCGAAGGAAGCTGAGACTGTGGATTAGCTGGCAGTTCACTGGTATTTGAATCCTTTAAAACAGCCACATGAAATTTTAGTATACATTTAAATTAGAGTATCTGCTGTAGTTTTTTTAACATGCAAATTGAGAAATACCTTAATTTTTATATTATCTTGCAAAATCTCTAACTATAATAAGAAATAGCAATTATTGATAATTTATAAGTTATGCAACTACTAATTATATAATGATTTTTCCACATTATGTTGTTCTACATTATTATCCTAATTCAGATTATTATAACCAACCCAACATTCTCTCTTTTTCTTTTTTTCTTTTCACTATACCTTGGGCTCTTGGGCTCAATTCCAAAGCAATACAATCTGTTGGAAATCTCCAGTTATAAATACCACCTTGGTGAATATTTAGGTGATCTTTTATTAATGTTGTCTTCAGTTTTCACTAATATCCACTAAATATCTTTAACAAAAATATTCTTTCCTGAAAAGCAAATTTTACTTTGCTTTTTTTCTAGAATTTCCCATAGTTAATCTGGAATAGTAGTTTATATCATGATGAATAGAAGAAGATAAAGAAATAGTAATAAATCAAGGTACAAGAGTTTAAGATATCTAATTATTATAAATAGGCATGGTATACCTGCCAGGGGACATGTCCACACATTTTCTTCCCTTCAGTTTTACCTTTACTGCATCGATAAAACAATCTAGTTTAGAGAACAAAACATGGATCATCACACTGGGCATAAATGCTGAATATTACCATAATTAATTGATGCTATTTTGTCAAAGCATCTAATGTCCCCTTGAAAATATACCTGTAGAGGTCTGTTTTTGTTTGCCTAATCAAAACTTGCAGCTCCACTATATAGTCCTCATGCACCAAGCAATGAGAAGGAGAAAGACTGTAGAAAGAAAAGGCAATTATTTACATATATATTTCTCACAAAAAAATAAATGTCTATGCTACTTCAGTAGTATCAAAGATGGTAAAAAATATTTAAACCTGACTACCTTCTCAATATTGTAAGGTGGATACAAGAATTAATGGCCTTCTTCTATCCTGCCTTTGGGACAAGCACGTGTTAATTCAGCTATAATAAAATGTTTTATAAAAAGGGCCCGAAAAGCAAGATGTAAAATGAACAGCACAAAAATCTGAGCCTTTAAACCTCTGCAGAAGCAGGCAACTAACATTTCAACTTCAAAGAATATATTGTATAATTATGGCATAAATGTATTTTCCAATGATACCTCATTGTCACTCAAGTTAAAATTATAAACTAAACATAAAACTGTATTTCAGTTATGATTGGATATACCATGCTACATATTTAGAAATATTTTTCTATGTTAAAGTGGCACAGATATTACTTTCTGATAAACAACTGCTGAACAGTAGGTAAGCAACTGATAATTCTCCAAGTTTGTATTTTTAAAACTCAACTTACTCAGTGGGGAGCACAAAGCCACATGGCTCCTGATTTTGGACTCCACACATATAAAAGCTTTTGCCTTTATTTGGGCCATCTCGGTTTCCAGTCTTCAAAAAACAGGGAAACCCTGAATGGGAAGGAAATGAAAATATGAAGTTCAATCAGAGACAGAAAAGTACCAAGCCAACTAATTTTTTTTAAAAAAAATCTCACTTCAAGTATTCAGAAGGCTCACATATCAATTTTATATTTGTTCTTAGAAAATGCTGCTTAGATTACCAAGTCCACCCTGTTGAAAGCAGGAATCCAAACTGTAACTTTTCCCTCCAAATGTTTATCCAGACACATTGAACATATCCAATGAAAGGTAGCATAAATCACAGTAGTTAAACTGATTCTACAATCAAACTGTTTTTAACAACTTTAATATCCTCTGATTTAACAGACACCAAGGCTAGTAGTATAACACCCTTTAGAAACTTATTGCCATGAATAGCCCTCTCCCCAGGATTTCCAATTTTACTCATCTCCTCATTGATTTTATTTGATTTGTCAATCGCTTACAAAATAATAAGAATGCAGGAAATAGGTACGAATAAATGGCGACAATAGGACAGGGACGGGAGGCACAATGGTGCACTTATGCACGCCCTTATTTATCATCTAGTGAAGAGAGTTAGGCAGACAGAAATAATAAACAGACAAGGGCTACCATGCCTAGTGCTTATACAAAAAGATTTATCTGTGCCATATGATGAATATAACTTTGAGGATTCCTGGGGCCCTGATTTTTGCTTTATAGGTAACAAAAGGCACCCTCGATTTCTGAGCTGAATTCTGTCCTATTGTCAGCTACTGGATTTTTCCCATTCAACCGAAAAGAATGAACTTTTTTTTTGGTAAATTTTATTTGAGTTTTCACAAAGAGAAAAAAAATACAAATAAAACATCTTTTTTGAAAGTAGCGTAATCCCGGGTTACATTTCTTTGTACAGACACAAATTCAGGTTCATGCTCATTTTTATATTCTATTCCATATCTTATTACTATTTTACATTTTCTGCATAGCTTCTCCCCTCTTTTATTTTTCTCAATTTTATTTTAATTATCTCATCTCAATTCAAATCATTGTATTTATATTTTTTCTCTGTCCTGTTTCAATTATCTATTATCTTTTTTCATTAAACAAAATTTCTCCTGTAGTTACTGATTGGAGTATGACGCCTTTATATCTTTTCCCTAAAGTTGTAACATTCAATATAATACATAACTTCCATTCAGATTCTGCTTGGTACATTCTTAAAGTACACACTGTATTCTTAAAAAAAGAAAAAAATATAAATGTATATAATTAAAACAACATTCCATTCATTAATATTAATATTCATTAAAGTCTTAACATCTTTAACATTACTTTTCAATTAAATATCATACTTCTATGGGAACAATTATAAGCTTTCCATAGTTAATTCCCCCCCTCTTCACTTATATTTTATAAAACATTAACTAATTAAAATGTTCCCGTTCCTTCCTAATTCAATTTTCTCATTTATTTTATTGCACTTATTTTATTCACAAACATTTCACTAAATTACACTAACTATTTTATCCCTCATTTTAATCATACGTTGTTTCCAATTTTCTAAAGTTATTTCTATCACTAATATAACAATACAATCTTATGTACCTTTACAGAATCCCCTTTTCAGTTAGATTTTCACCCATTATCTCTAAATAGGTCCTGTTTCTCTATATCTTGCTCCGGTCCTTTGTAACTTCTTTTCCTTTCCTTCTTCCCTCTCTTCTTCTCTCTCCCCTTTTTACCCCCTTGTCTCTCTACCTCTATTTCTCTCTTCTGTATTCCCCTTTTCTGTTGCTTTCCAGTATTATACTTATTTTTCGAATTATTTTTCTTTTCTTTGGTTGTTTTTTTAAGTCTTAAATTCTCCATTCTCTTTCCCCCCGTTCCTTTTTCTTCCCCACATAAAATTGCTTGTTGATTAAAGATGGCTTCTTCTTTGTCCCAGTCTTCTTGTTTTGCAGTCGTTTCTTGTTTCTCATAGTTCCAAATCTCCATTTCTAAGAATTGAAAATGAAGCCAAAAGAACCCTTCCCTTCTTGTGCATCTTCTTTATACTTTTTAAGTTCCATTTTCAATTCATCCAGAAGTGGTGCCATTGTATAAATTTTTAAACAACCACCCGATTGATTTTAGTCATTCAAATATAACCACCAAGAATCCAAAGATCACCAAATAATCCAAATACACGCAAGCTGTTTCTTTTTTGCTCTTTTTTTTCACTTTCTCTTCCTGGGGTTACTATTTAATTGCAAAGTTTCAGTTAAAATGTATCTTTTAGAAGTCTTGTTGAAGTTTTACTGCAGATTCTTTTTAATTCCAGGCAGTCTCCTCCCTCTTCCAGATCCTGCCCTTATTCTTTTTCTCTCCCTTCCTGCTTATGAAAAAGAAAAATTTTAATGTCCAGAAATCTTTATTATCCCTTTGGCATTTTGTTTTATTTTCAGCTTAATTGCCTATTGATGTCAAAGCGGATTTTTCCAATTTCTTATTTAAGTCTCTTAGTCGTCAGTATAGGGAAGGAGAGAGAAGGAAAAAAAAGCCAAACCTTTCCCTTTTCACTTTCCTTCGCTGCTTCAGAATCTTCTTTGGAAGCGATGTTATTTTTTGTAAGTTTAAATTCCAGGATACCTTAGTTGTTGCTTTTACAATTTAACCCGGTTAGCCAAAACTTTCACTTCTTATCTTCCTCCTGCACATTCTTTTCTGGTCGAGTTCTTCTTTGTGGTGGCCATTTCTGACCACCGCTGCAACCGCCTTCGGAAAAGGGAGTAATGGCCAGCTGAGGAGGAGAGATGCGGCTCTCCTCAACCCTGCTGGCAGTCTCTACCCTCTTCACCACCTCTACGGGGTGGCTTAGCCCCGAAACCAGCCGGCTCGGGGCGCTCCAGCAGCGAGCCCAGACAGAATGAACTTCTGATCACTGGATATTTCAAAAGGAATTCTTTATTGAAATGAGATGATTCCAGCAGGATTCAAAGCAAAGTGTAAAGGCTCCCAGGCATGCAGTGGTAGATAAGGGAAGTTAGAACCCTTCCCCTATCTTGATGTGTATTTTGTCAAACAAAGACCCAACGTGTTAATTCCCCCTTCCCTTCTTTGGGACCGATCTTTTGAAGAGTTTCTCAGGACTTAATCTTCCAGAGGTGGAATTTTTATGGTCCCTTTTGCCCTTGCTGTCTCTTCAAGAGGTGATAGGTTTCTGGACATCTGGCCCTCAACCTTCAGTTGTATATCATGTGTAGGTTATACAAATTCAATATTTGATTTAATATATTCAGGTTACATCAAAAAGGATTACTTATACCGACTTCCCTCCCCTTTCTTCTTCCATTGAATAATGGCAGATACACGGATCTGACACCTATATGAAATCTTTCCACTACCATTATTTCAATCCCTCTTTAACAAGCAAGAATTTCCTTGATCAATATCAAGATTTGATTTCATAGAATGAAGCTTGTTTGTATTACAGTAGTGCCCTAAAGCAGGGAAAAAAAAAGATTTTCTGCTTATGGTGCTACATGTGACTAGGAAAGGCTTTTACTTTCTGTAAATGGGGCGGGGGAGGGGAGCCGTTTAATACTTCACACCAGGAAGCAAATGTTTTAAACTTTCTCTAAGAACCAAAACATTTTTTTAACTTGCATATATTTACGTTATGTATTAATCTACCTGCCTTTTTTTTCTGGCGCTGCATAAGTATTATTATGAAAAAAAACTGACGGGGGGGGGGAATAGCCCGATCACTTCCGAATTTTACAAGCCATTCTCGATCAAGGTTTCCTGCTCATAACCCCGTCGTCCACCCTCCTACGGCCTCACCGTGAGCAGAGCACAACACTTTCTCCATGGCTCAATCTCTAAAGCTAGGGATTCCCTTCACGGCAATCAAATCCTAACCGGAGAAAAGGGAAGGTCGCTTTGGCTTTCCCGGGAATCGCCAGCCCCGCTCGGCTTCAAAGCTGCCAATCCCCCTTTTCCCCTTCTCCTGGCGGAACCAATCGCAATTCCTCTCCCGCCCACGAAAAGCCGAGTTTTAGTCTCAGAGCAGCGACTGAGGAGTTTTTGCCCAATCGCAGAGGAGATAGAAACGCCTCCGAGAGACGAGAGAAGCGCAATTGGTCAGAGAGGCAGCCAATATTTTCATACTTCGCTACATTACGCGTTAGCGCAAAAAAGCAAGCTCAGTCGGGTTAGCCTTAGAACAGTTGGGTAAAAAGGGTAGCGCCCCCTTGGCAATTCAATAGAACAGTATTTACTTGACAGAAAAAGTCAGGTCGCGATGGTGGCTCTCGCTTTTCCATAAATAGGAAAGTGCTTGGAATTCTGGTCAAAAGTTGTTATAGTCCGAAGTAAAGTCTGGCTCCTGTCCCTGGTTTTCCCCCTTGCGGTTTTCTTTGATCCAAGCATATATTTACAGTAGCCTTCATAATTATTCTACCAAGACTAATTGTATATATTCTAACGCTTATGGACAGAATACAAAAATAAAACACAGCAGGCTATTTTGGAATATAGTTATTTTAGTTATATTTAGTTATATCTTGTCTTTCTTAATGTTATAAATAACTCCACTAGGGATAGAAGAGTGCTGAATGGGCCCATTAATTAAATGGATTTTAATTGAACACAAGTATCAACAGCAAAGTGAGATGACATCCACATATACATGCGATGTCACGACACAAACTTATGAACTATCATTGTGACATCTGTTGCAAATCAATAATGGTTTTTTGGCAGGTTGCATTTCTCATTGCAAGATGCCTCAATGTTGTTCTATGAAAATTCCTGATTTGCACTGTGATGGTATTCTTTACATCTCCCCACTTCATCGATTCCTTTCTCTGACCAGTATCGAGATCTCATTTAGTGACATAATCATCCTGAAACATGTATTTTATTTTTTGACCTGTCAAACAAATTCCCATTACTGTTATTTGATCTGGAATTGTTTGGAGTACATGATGCCTGTGACTAAGTTTCCACAATACTGTAATATATGTTTTGTGTGTGTGTCTTCTAGTTAATTTTTAAGACCTGGAGAAATTCCTGAAGTTTACTTGGCAAGGTTTTTGAGAAGCAATTTGCCAATGTCTGCTTACTAGGGCTGAGAGAGAGTGACTGGCCAAAGATTACCTAGCTGACTTCATGCCTATGGTTGAAGTAGAACTCACAATCTCAGTTTCTAATCTGATGTCTTAACTAAATAATATATTTGCCTTGCTTTTTAAATAAGCCACAATTGCAGCTATATATTGATTTGAAGCAATGGATGGATGTATACAATTAAAACATGTTATGGCTTAATATTACTTGAACTCCTAGCAACTAATCTGAGGATACATAATGGATGCAACACCATAAATGCAGTGTTTGTATTTTATTATTAAATTTATAACCCACATTTCTGCTTGTATAAGCACTCAAAGTAGTTTACAACAATATTCTAAGGTGCCAATTCACTGGCAAGTGAGTTTAGAATTTTTAAAAAAGTTCTTCTACAATACATTTATGTTGCTTTGAGTGTCAACATTCAGTTTACAACTAAGGAAAAGTATTAAAAGTATCACCTTTTCTATAAAAATGCAAGTAGTATATTTAAATATAACTAACAAAAAACTCCTCTATTTTACAGAATTTATTCTAAATAAGAATTTAGCCAAATTCAGTGTTGTAAACAAGATGATGGTAGATAACAAGAGAACAAGGTTATAGCTCTGTCACCGTATAGCAGGGCTCACCAAACTTGGCACTTTAAGACTTGTGGACTTTAGAATTCTGGGAGTTGGAAGTCTTAAAGTTGCCAAGTTTGGAGACCTCTGCCATACAGGTAGTCCTTGACTTACAACTGTTCATTTAGTGACCATTCAAATTTACAACAGCACTGGAAAAACTAACTTTTGACTGCTTTTCACACTTACACTGCAGTATACCCATGATCACATGATCAAAATTCAGGCACTTGGGAACTGATTTATATTTGACAGTTGCAGTGTCCTGGGGTCATGTGATCACCTTTTGCCACCTGCTGACAAGCAGTCAATGGGGAAGCCAGATTCACTTAACCATATAATGACTAACTTAACAAGTGCAGTGTTTCACTTAAGAACTCTAGCAAGGAAGATGGTAAAATGGGGCAAAACTCACTGAACAACACTTACTTAGCAACACAAATGTTGTTCAATTGTGGTCGTAAGTCGAGGTCTACCTGTAAATGGAAATGGAATCTGCTTAACCAGTGAACTTCTAGCTTCATTTATGGAATACTGTTCATCATTAATCCCAATTACAATAACTGCACTGAGGCAATGTTATTTATTTGCTTGTGGAATATAACTCATCTTTTTTGTGAACGCAAAAGAAGTACATTAATGAAAGAATGAAACACAAATGATTCCCCACAGAAATGGTCGAAGGCCATAGAGCTGAACTATAGGTCTATAATATAGTTCTATAATTGTCATATAGCAGGGACAAATAAAATTGTGGAAGCCATAATCCAACATGTTTGGAGGGCACTATATTAATGAAAGTATTCCATACTAATGAAATTGTTAATCCTAATTACCCATATAAATTACTCCCTTTCCCACTTCCTTAATCAGTATTCCAAGTATGATTCCTAATGCTATACAAACACTGCATTTTCTCTGCAAAGTGCAAGTGAAATCACAACTGAATTTCCACCTATCAACAAAGTTGCACCTACATTCATTCCATAGGAACTGCCAGTTTTTGTGAGAGGAAAACAATTACCTATTTGACCACTTAAAGCTTAGCATAGCTTTGTATACTTTTGCAGGGTATGCCACTTTATTTTTAAAAAACATGTCAACTTAAAAAAAACCATATACATATGCACGTGCATGTGCTTGACAGTGTTGTAACATTATAAAGTTAACGGAGAGAAAAATATTTTGTGTTCGTTGTGTTTTGTAAGCTGGTTAATACAAGCTGTATTTCATCTAATATAAAGATTAAAACATTTTCTGATCACCATTGGTTTAACAACTGAGGAATAAAAGTTTTTAAATGGTAGCTATTGCAGGGTTTATAATGAATTTCTCCTGAGCAGTGTTAACTGTGGAAAGTGTGACTTTTCTGGGGGTTGTGTGTCAAAGATGGACATTCTGCAGCTTCAGAAAAGGAACAAAAATATAGAAAATACAAGATGACAGTAAACGGAGAATGTAACCTTGTAGATGATCACTGTAAAAATGATTTAGCAAAACGTGACTATTCAGATTAAAATACTAGTGTGAAAGTACCCTAATTTTCAATACTAGATTTGATAGGCCTCAGTTGCATTTTATTATTATTATTTTCATAAGTACCTGGACAAAGTTGTTAAAGTATTGGAGGAATGGGAGTACTTTAACAGTGAACTGTGTTTATAAAGTTTTTAAAAAGCAGAAAAACCATCCAGCCAGAAACACTATGGCTGCTGTTCCCAACCTGAGTGTTCCGGTTGCTTTAATTTTTAGAATTCTCAGTCACAGCCATGCTGTTTGCAAAATTGCAGCTGAAGTCTACACTTATATATAGTGTCCAACTTGGGAAATGCTGCTGTATGCCACCGAAATAATGAAATAACCTGTGCTTTACTATTTAGGGATCAGTGAACCCTTTCAAAGTTTTGATTTCCCAATAGTTTGAGTTACTTTGTTCTCTAATACTGTGTTAAGATGATTCTTTGGGAATTTTTATAGCTTTGCTTAAAACACTGGGGCCTGTTTTGCTTTCCTTGCAAAGAATCATGGCTGTGCATCAGTTTTAGTGTTTTTTTTTTCCTATTTGTTTTATTGAAGCAATTTTAAGTGTTCACTTCTTCAATGCTTTGTAGTTGTATTTTTTGTCCAATGTGGACCTTGCCGCCACGCCGTGCACTTCCATTGTTGCCTGCCACAGTTCGTGCTGGGAACAAAGAGCCAGAGAGGACATCTCCTCCAAACAAGGTGATCCTGACATCCGTTTCAATTGCTTTGGCCAAGCTGGATGCGTAACTATCCAGAGATTTGTGAACTTCAGCCTTTACATGGAGGATAGAGTTCTTCGCTGCTTCTGAACAAAGAAAAGAGAGATATTAGCTCAATAATGCCATATGAATGCCTCATACATTAATGTTAATTTGAACATTGTAGTCATCTCTCCTGTAATGAAATACATTCAAAGAAGATTCATCCTATTGTGGCTTTCGGATTTCTATGTAGGATAGTAGAATTATAAATCTAATAAAATGAGTTGGGTCAAACATATGCATGATAATTTAATCTAACAAGTGACGTCTATCCATAAACTTAAAAATAAAATATGTGGATCTCAGCCATCAGCAAACTATATAACAAAGACAGGCTTTAAAGGATGTTTCTTTAAATACAACAAAGAGTAAAACTCCCTTTATTAAATGCTGTACTTCTTTCCTCACCTCTGCCACTGAAATAGGCAGGCTAGAGATCATTCGAAACATTTGCAGCAGCACTTCAAGAAATAATTGAGTAATTCAGATTAAACCTTCCATCTATAGTTCTAATTTTGAGCTTGCAATCATATAATATATGGTTTGATTTTGCTTTTTTCTGAAATTGCTCTGCTGATTTCTCTTCTATAGTCCACTGCACTTTTTGTGTATGATTTCTTAGCAGTCAATACTAGCAGTCAATACTACTTAGCAGTCAACCTAAGCAAAACTAAGAGAAGTGAGTTTTTCTCCATTCCAGAACAGTTACCCAGTTCTCCTCCTTACAAATCCATGGGGCTGTTGTCCTTCTGTATTTTTCACTTTCCTTTGTACTTCATTTCATATGGAAAACTCTCCCTTGCTTGTCCTTTTCTTTTTAAGGAAATTCTTTATAATGAATGTTTACTTTATCCTTCCTGAATCTAATATAATAAATTTTCCTTTTAATTTTTGTAGACACACAGGCAGATCAACAGACTTTGGACAGTGAGGATGAAATTGTTAATATATGTCTATATCTATGAATATAAATAATTCATGGTCATTATTAAATTTATTTACAGGCAAAAATCTTAAAGTTCCTATTGCTAAGAGCAAAATCACACTCTCTGACAATGTCCAATAAATCTACATTCTGCAAAATATTTGCATGTTCTGTTTTTCCCCTGAAGAATAAGATTAAAATAATTGCAATTATCACTAAAGATTTTTTTATGTTGGCATTATTATTTTAATAAATAAGGCCGCAAATATGCCTCATGCTCCTTCCTCCTATTTTCTCCACCATACCCCTATGAGGAGAGTTGGGCTGAAAGAGAGTAACTGCTCCAAAGTCACTCAGCTGGTTTTTAGCTTGACACCTTAACCATTAGACCAGATTGGACTTGTATATGTATATAGCAATAACACTTAGACAATAGTACTGCTTTATAGTGTTTTACAGCCCTCTCTAAGCAGTTTACAGAGTCAGCATTTTGCCCCCAACAATCTGGGTCGTCATTTTACCCACCTCGGAAGGATGGAAGGCTGAGTCAATCTTGAGCCTCTTGAGATTTGAACTGCCAAATTGCAAGCAACCAGCAGTCAGCAGAAGTAGCCTGCAGTACTGCACTCTAACCACTGTATCACTGTGGCACTCTCTCTCTCTCTCTCAATTTTCCCTTCTAGATTATATGTATCTTTCAGCTATAAGATTTTTCAGTGCATTTATTTCATTTTCAAGTCTTTCACAACTTCTAATTTTATATTAAATAAATTAAATTAAAAACTCAAACTAAAATTAAGGAAAAATTAAAGAGCAGTTTAGGACCGAATTCTTGATTCAAGTAGTCCCCTGTTATAAACAGTTCAGTAATTGCATGCCTAGCCTCAACATACCTTTAATTTGTTCCACTTCATCTTCAAAAGTTACAGAACTCCGTCGATGAGGGTAAACACAATGTGGATGATTAATTCCATCAGAACTATAATCTTCAAGCAGCATAACATCTGTCCCTAAAAAGAGATAATGGCTTAGACAGTTGACTAACGGGAAAATTCATTTAATGGATATATGCAAAAATTGTATTTTTGTGATATGGGCACTGAGCTGTATGTACTGTTAGGAATGTAAGTCACCTAACAGTTGGGTTGGAAATATATAAACCAGGATAGACATTTTAATGCTGTCTCTTTAAGGGAATGCTAAAAACTGTAATTGGGTGTGGTTCCTCAAACGGCCATAAGATGGAGCCAGAAACCTGGGTTGTTTAGTCCTGTTGTTGATAGTTGCTAGTTGGTCGATGTTCTGATGTTCGCTGTTTCCAGAATATTTCCCTATTGACTGTTGCTGATCGTCATTATTTTTGGATTACTGTAAGTCTGTTACTGAACTGTATATGATACTGAACTTTGTTATTTAGATTATCCCTGGACTGAAAACTGACTGCTTTAACCGTGTATGACTTGGACTACTTGTTGGACTTTGCTTAACTGTTTACTGGAAGTAAAAACCTACATTTTACTTTACAGTGTATCTGTGTGCTGGTTGTGTGTTATTTCTCACCACTCTCACTACGTCTCCCTGTGTGCACTCATTCTCCTAACGGGGAATTACCTCAACATGTACTCTCCCTCACATTTAGAAAACAGCAAATGGCACCTCTATAGCTGGAATCGTATTTTACAATGCAGAAAAATAAGATTGCAAGAACGTTTTTGGCTTATAATGCTAATTATAGAGCTAGGAAGCAAGTGAATGGGAAGAATACTTCAACTTTCTTTTGCACATCTTTTCTTGTAACCAAGCCATCTTTGTTATGAATTTTATTTTAAATTGTATTTGATTTAACTAATCAGCTAAACTTATTTGTAGAGACACATTTGCAGGAGAGAATCAGAAGTTACACAGTTAACTATCTCCATCTTTCCCACATTCATGGAGTTTTACAGGGTAGTCCACACACTTATTGACCAGTAGTTCCCCACCAATGTTTTTTTCATAATTTTTCATTGACACACATATACACACACAAAACCCATGAGGAGGAATCCTATAATAGCTGCATAATATTTTTTCATGGATAGCACCAAGATAATACTATTAAGTTGCATTTCAAGTTTATTGCAAACTTCTTTTTTTAGCAGCTGTATCATACTACTTGTTCATTGCAACATAACTTAAAGAAACAGTTACCTGAATCCTGAGAGCAACTGAAGCCTGTATCTCCTGTGCTGCTGCTGTGTCCTAAAGTCCGCTCCCCTGCCATGAGAACTGTCAGATGTGGAGACAGTCCTAGATCTGTAAAAGTATTTCAGCATCCAAAAAAATTAATTTCTAGATTCATACCCAAATATCTTCAAATATCCTTAGTGCATTTTATTACATTGCTTGATTTAATAATGGCTAAGTCTGTAACAAGAGCCATTACATTAACCATTAATGTACTGATTAAGACATCAGGCTAGAAACTGGGAGACCGTGAATTCTAGTCCTGCCTTGGGCACAAAGCCAGCTGGGTACCTTTGGGCCAGTTACGTTCTCTGAGTCCTGGGAAGGAGGCAATGGCAAATCACTTCTCAAAATCCTTGTCATGATTAAATGGAATTAAAAAAAACCTTTTTAACATCTGAATTTATTAAAAATGATTCTTGAATAATTCAGATTTAAAATTCATACCATTGGGAACCTGTATCTAATGAAATCAATGAAAAAAAATATTTACACTTCTTTTTAGTTTGGTAATAAATAATAATAAATAATAAATAATAAAAATTGAATATCTCAGAAAAAATAAAGAGCAAAGCATGCTTTGGACTACAGGGCCAATTGAGTTGGTCAGTCCTGGAGCCATCCAACGCCCCCAGGGCAGGCAGTTATCAATAAGGTCAGTAGGCAGTATGGCCTCACATGTGGTGCCCTGGCAGTTGGGGACTGCAACTCCTGCCTAAGCAGAGGGTTGGACTAGAAGACCTCCAAGGTCCCTTCCAACTCTGTTATTCTGTTCTTTATTCTAAAAATCTTTTAAAGAAATGTTTTGAGCATTTATATTTATCGAGGTTATAACATGTGATAATGATGTGATAATGATTGTTTGTAAAAGCTAACTTAAGGAGAACCAATCACAGACTGATGTAAAAGCAATTGGAATTATAGTGGTAGTGATAAATTAATACATAGGTTGAACCCCCCTTAGTAGCAAACCATTACCCAGAAATGTTAAAACTGGGGATGAGATTTTTTTAAAATCATAAACAAATAAATGGACAACAGAGGAATTGCAAGAGGCTCTAGATCCTAGGATACCACAAAAATATACATATGCAAAGGATGTTTCCTGAGAGCACTCAGCTTAATTTTCCAATTCTGTCTTATCCATTCAGTGAAGTTTATCTGAATAAAATGGATAATCAGACATAATGAATCTCCAAGGTCTCCTGCCTGCCTTGAATATGTACAAGAATTGTGATCAGGTCCATGTCTAAAAATTCTCAATCATGAAGCAGACAAAGAAACCATATGATGAAGGATGGACAACACTAGTGGTTGTACCAGACTAATTAAATGGTGGTCACTCTGCCCTAGAAATTTACAGTATCTTCTAGAGGCACTTAAAAAAAATTAAAATTACCTGTGATCCTATTAGAAATACTAAATAATCTGGATGTCCTTTGCCTTTGAACAAATGATTCTCTGTAGTACCGATCTCCAAAGCACATTCCCAGTAACTCCTTGCGTACAGTTTTATTCCAGAGTCCATAAATCAAAGGGTGGCAAATGGCACTTGTAAAAGATAACCATGTTGCTAATGTCTCGAAGGTAGGGGAAATGCAGTTTTTACCCCAAAGTGCCTCAGATGTGATAACCACCATGTAAGGCCCCCATGTGATGACAAAAGCCCCGATCACAACTAAAATTGTGATCAAAGCTTTGCATTGATTGGCAGAATAAACGACCCCTTGGAAAGCATTCCTCCGGCTGCCTGATGAGGACGTTGAAGTACTTGAATTCTTTCTCCCATTCCTTTGCGTGTCTTCTGCTGCAATGACCACGCTGCCACAGTGAATCTTCCGTGCCTTAATCCTGGCCACACGAAATATGAAACCGTAGCAAATGATCATGACTATAAATGGTAGCAAGGCACACCATATCTGCCAAAAAGCAGTGTAACCTGCCTGCTTATGCCATGCAGCTACACACATCCATTTGAACTGATCAAATTCTAAAGATGACCAACCAAAGAGGGGTGGAAGGCATCCAATTAGAGAATGAAGCCACACATATACAATGGCAACAAAAGCTCTGTTACCCGTAATCTTCATAGGGTAAACCATGGGGTACAAGACAGCATAGTATCTGAAAAACATAAAAGGAGTATGCAGTAATGTTAGGGTATATGCAATATGGAGGAAATTGAATAATACCAAACATGAAAAAAATTAAAGGAATGAGTTTGTTTTTTGAAAATTGGATCAGATTAATTGGAGAACCTGGGTTGTCTCATGGAGACACTTTCTCTTTGTTGCTTTAATATTCTGATGCTGCTTATGTATTAATAAACAAAGTTATTTCTCCCACAATCTCAATGTATGGACTTGGTGGCATTGTTATTTAACACATATTTCTCTGCCATTGCATATTCAATGCTGGTACATGTTAAAAACCTTCCCCCCGCCCCATGCGGCCATATTCAGGTCATGAAAAAATGGATGGCATACCGGTCAATAGCAATGAGTCCAAGTGTTAGCATACTGGCAGAGCTGATGAGCATATAGAGTAGGGCAGAGAAGTTGCACCAAACGACTCCAAAGATCCATTCCCGACGGATGGAGCTGGTAACAACAAAAGGAAGCACCAGCAACGAAAGAAGGAAGTTGGATAGAGTGAGGCTGAAAACAAACTTGTTGCTTAAGGTGAGTAGGTATGACTTCTTATAAAGAGTGAGGACGATCACTAGATTCCCTAAACAGATGAAAATAGCAATAATGATGATAGCAATTGACTCGGTGACTCTGCCTGCTCCCTCTTCCAGCAGTGTGAGGTTTTCTGAGACATTTTCCTTACTGAGGGACAAGTTGATGCTCATTGTCAGAGCAACCAAGACATGCTGAGTGTCTGCTAAAGAAATACAAAAACAGTTGATATACATATTACATCAATGAACGCTACTTACATTTCCATAAACAAAGTTACTAGTTCCACAATTCTCAATGTACGGACTTGACTGCACTGTGTTAGTCAAAATATTACAAACACTACATGCACAAGATTTATCAAGTTATAAAATATCACATGAACTTCATGGATACGTGCAATGATATACAAGGCATTTTCCAAAGGCAGACAGAACAAGTAACTCCTATGTTAATTGTCATGCCCCTGTCAGTATCTGATTAAGAGAGGTTGGCCGAGCAGCTGACAGGGAGTGGGAGTGTGGCTCCATTGGCTGTGGAAGAAACTGGGGAGGGGCAAAGGCTGGCTGGGCAGAGCAGAGGAGAGGTAGAGCAAGGAAGAGGTAATTTGGAGGAAGACCCAGGCCCACCCCCTCTTCATCCTAGGGCACGCAGAGGGGAACAGAGAAGGGAGCAATGTGAGTTGCGTGGCTTATGGGGGAGGAAAGGGCCCTGATTCCCTTCATTAGCTGCAGCTGGGAACACAGTGTTTAAAGAGGGAAGCTGCGCACACTTTATGGAAACAAAAGTTGGACCCTGAAGAAGCATGATGGGAAGAGTATTATTGCTTTTGCTGTTGGAGAAGACTTCTAAGAACACTGTGGACAGACAAGAAAAAGGAATCATTGAACAAATCAAACCAAAGTTCTGTCAGAAATCACCAGAATCAAATTATCCTATTTTGGATATATTTTGTGAAGATCTAACTTTCTGACAAGTCTCTAATGCTAGAAAAAGTGGAGGTAAATTAAAGAAAAGGATGACCAGCAGCAAGGTGGATGGACTCAGTTGCAATGGCAATTGGTGCACTGTTGGAAAATCTAAAAAATCACATTACGGCAGATTATGGCCAAAATCTACCTATGTTGTACAAATTGTTGAATATGAATATGTTGAATAAATTGACACAAATTAGCAACATTGAATTTGCTGCCTTTCATGTCCTATGTCTCTTAATAGCACCATTAATGGCATTGTACGTATCTAAAAGCTGCCTGCAGGGGCTTATTTTATAGAGTTCAAATCTAACAAACAACAAAGCCAAATGTTATATAAAAACAAAACAACAAATAAAACAGCAACACAAGGACAAAATCTGTACGTATATAGACCCATTCAAGGAAAGCAACATTATACAAAGAACAGGAAAAGAAATCAAAGAAACCAAAGAAATTAAGGCACAAGCTAAAAAGGAAACATCACTAAATCTACTTTTTATCAGCATCATTCACTACCCTACCTTTCTATCCTTGCAAGTCATCTTTGCTTCCATCACCTCCATACATTGATTTATACATTTGCTTTTTGTCCTTTAAACTTCTTTTCCAGGGTCTCTGTGTGATTTAAAATTATATTGTTACTCTCTGTGTACTCTTTTCTTAGCCTTTTGATTTAATAACCACCTTATTCCATAAATCTATCACTTTTTAAGCAGGAATTGAAACTTTTTTCTCCACGTGACCTGACTCTTAATTCATTCCCCAGGACTACTGAATTACAATACAGTAGTTTGTTGGGTAAGTACACATGATTGGAAGGTGGAAAATGAAGGTGTCTTGGAAATACCAGGTAAGAAGGCCTAGAACGGCTCGTATCAAATGTTGGATTCAGACCACCCAGTTTTCCTTTCTCACTCCACCTTTTTTCTTTTTCTTTCTTTCTTTTTTTTTTTTGAAAGGTAGCTGCACAAGCGGGCAACTTGGATGCAAGATTTACCCAGAATTTTATTCCAGGCTCGCAGTAACTGCAGCTGAAGTGGTCCGCGTTCTAACAAGTCCCCGCCTGGATGCTCCAGACACCACCCTGAAAATTGGAGGGATAACCAGCTGCTTACTCTCGCCTGCTTTTTCGCCCTCGGTCGGCTGTACAGTAGATCGAAGTCAGAAAACCGAGATGCTTCGTCGCCGGGTTGGAAAAAAAAAAAGCTTAACCCGGCTCGGTACCAGAATATTCAGCCAGCCTTTCTCTCCGTTGCCGAGGCATGGAGAATCGTGGCTAAGTAGCCAGGCTTCTCCCGTCCCGGGCACCACCCTCGCCCAACATACCAATCCCATCGTCGCCTAGAGGCAAAGCAAGATTTCCTTTTGCAACGAAGAGTCTACGGGATCCCTCCGAGGAAGCGAGGACCCTGCTCTTCTTTATACCGCGGGTCCGTGTCGTGTTACACTCTGTTCTTCATCCGAAGGTCTCGGGGACCTTTCGCCGGGGTGAGACGATTCACTCACCTTTGACCGAACTGCTCTCGTGTAGCCCTGCCACCCCGTTCCCGATGCGGGCGAAGGGGTTCAGATTGCGGCCCCCCGGCCCCCCTACGGTCACCGTCAGTCGAGGCCCAGAAAAATAGTCCGACCCCCCTTCTTTCTCGTCCATCCCCTCATCTACTTTTCCACATCCCTCCTTCCTTGAAACACTCCCTCCATCCCCGTTTTACTCCTCCCACTTTCCCACCCTGTCCTTTTTGCTCCGCTGCGTTTTTTGTTCTTTAGCAGCTCGCCCCCACTTCATTTTTCCATCAAAATTAACTTTTTTCTTTTTTCCTTACAGTTAGAAAACAGCTTTAACAAGCTGTCTTTATGTGGAAAAAGCTGGTCTATAGAGACAATGGGATGAAATTTTCTCCACCAATACTAAGTAAATAATTTATATTAGTAAGCCCGGCCCACCAACATTGCATTTCTTCACCCTTCGGAAAACTTTAATGTTGTCCTCTATATCATTTTTCTTCCCTTAGCTGAACAGCATCACTTGCACAAAGGCAAAACAAAAATAAAGAGATGGTTTGTTTAGATACAACTTCTATAGCAGACAAATTCATAATAAGGGAAAGTTCTGTAGATTTTTTTAAAAATCACATTTTAAATAAAGGAATATTGTTTAAATAAATCATGAGTGCAACCATTCTTCCAATAGTTTATATCTATAATTGAATTTGAATACATCCATCTTCAAATTAGTAATAAATCTGTTCATTTTACACTGCAATTCTACTTGTTTAAAATCAAAATCAGTAGAATGTACTTTCAGTTAAGAATAGAATAGAATAGAATTCTTTATTGGCCAAGTGTAATTGGACACACAAGGAATTTGTCTTGGTGCATATGCTCTCAGTGTAAGTGGTGAGATTGTAACTTAAACCACAGTACTACATAATGTTAAAGTGTGCTGTATTATACAGTTAAACCAATAATTATTTCAAATAAAATTTCACAAAACATAGCAACCAATCATATACCATCATATAAGCAGACATAAACCAAAACCTTATGAAGAATTACTGTTTTATTACATTATCTGAGCCCACCGACTGCAGTTTTATTTAGCAGAATATAATCAAGTAAACTATGCCTTAGTACAATGTAAGTAAGTACTCGGACTTGAGTCAAATTATTGTCACCCATCTCTAGGTGAACATCAGCCTTTAAGAATTTTAAAAACTATTTTTTGCCAATGCAACACATGAAGATGTCAGAATTACATGCCAATCTAAAAAACTTATTTTTCTCTAAGTTTTGTACTTATTTTGCATCTGTACTTATTTTTCTCTAAGTTTTGATCCAATAAGAAATTACAGCTACTACCATTATAACTATCCTATAAAGACCTATAAAGTCTTTTAATTGCTTTGGGACAGAACAGTGTTGATCACAATGTACCGTCTAAAACTCTACAAAGAAAATGTGTTTAACTTCTCTGGACAAAGCGAAATAATTAATAAAAGAACAGGAGTGCAGGACATGACCTACTGTATGGACTATAAAATAATGTCAGTTTTCTTGCTGTTTTCATTAACACCGGGTCAGGATGGATTGATGGCAACTTTTCTTGACATATTTCTTGCATACTGGGCCTGGTAACCAATAGTCAATGAAAAAATTTGATGGTACAAAGTAACAGCAGCACTCTGAAATTTCCACAACTCGTAAGTTACACATAACCCTAATTTCTGGTTCCTATTAAAATCTTCCACATGTAGAACAAGAACAGTAATAAATCTTTCAAGTAAATCTCAGGCCCAATTATTTATATTATTGGACCACTGATGAGATAATGCACATGCTAACAGTCCATTTCTGTTTTTTTCCTTACAAAGTCTTTATTAGTACAGAGACAAATAACTTAATTTTTAAAAAATTGCATTCTTTCCACCATTCCCAACTTTAGTTCAGACATTTGAAATAGCCATACTTTATTTTAGCATCGCTTCTTGAATAAGCCACAACTGACCAGACTCATATCATACAGTACATACCAAGTTATAAAATAGTCTTCATGTACCTGGGATCAAATGACCAGGTTCATATAACATGCCAAGGTACAATCAGATAAACTACACTGTAAGTTGACAGAATAAATGAATGTGTGTAATTGCAGAATATGGTTGAGCTATAGTAAATAACTGCACCTTATAGTTGTGATGTGTAAAAGGTAGGTAAAAGTAAAGGTTGTCCAGTTGTGTCTGACTCTAGGCTCATCTGTTTTTTAACCAAGGGAGCCTGAGTTGTCCAAAGACATTTCCGTGATCATGTGGCCAACATCACTGTATGCCTAGGTGCATACAGGAACCTTCCCACCAAAGTACTTATTTATCTACTCACATTTTGAACTGCTAGGTTGGCGAGAGCTGTAGCAGATAATGGGAGCTCATGTCATGTAGTGCTCAGGTCTCGAGCCCAGGCGATCAGCTTTCCAGCTGATCAGCTCATCTTTAACCACAAGGCATCACACTCCCTTCTATATACAATATCTCTACTCGTTTTGCCATTCTGTTTAAGAATGTTCTTGTTGTAATGTGAAATATTGATAAATAGGAAAATGGTACTTGCTCTTAATTTTTTTTAGCAAAAAGTAATTACATTTCTGGTTAATATGAAGATATTAGAAATTTATTTATTTATTAAGCATATGGCATTTACAGAAGTCATGCAGTCACCAGTATGCAAATTTAGTTTAAATAAAGTGTCAGCAAATATATATTTATATATGAAATTAAGATAAAACCATAATAAAAAATCAGCATAATATGAAACCATAGAATTGTACTGTGATAGATGTTATAATTCAATACCTAAGGAAGCTGCACAATGGTATACCTCTGCAATACCCCGGGCAACATTCTGTTTTAAATGAGCAGTTAAGAGTTTATACACATGGCGACTGAATTGGATATTGCAGTCTGCATTGTCAAAAACTACAGAAACAGCAATGGGACTATATAAAAAATGAGTAGAAAGGTTATCAGTTTGTTTGGCTTTTGTTTATACATAACACTTATAATGAATATAGTATACAACTCTGAAATTCAATTTCCTTCCTTTTAAAATATATTTATAGTTATAGTAGATGAAAAGAAAGGAAAACCCCAATATTCAGGACAGTATGTAAAAAACAGAAAACAAAATAAAAAAGAGAAAGTTCCTTTTCTTTCTTTCTTCTTAATCCAAGTAATAGCAATAGCACTTAGACTTGTATACCGCTTCACAGTGCTTTACAGCCCTCTAAGCGGTTTACAAAGTCAGCATGCTACCCCCAACAATCTGGGTCCTCATTTTAATGACTTAGAAGGATGGAAGGCTGAGTAATTTAACTTTCAGGAATCTTTATATTATTATTAGAAACAAAGTGCATTTATTCAAGGAACAGCAAACATTGTACATTCACATTTCATGGTAATGTAACTCCTATTATGAACATTTCTTTAGTCAAGTTTTGTTGTTTTACTTTAAAACCATGATGGCAAACGTGTTGCATTTCCAAACAAGTTGCATTTCAAGAAAACAGTCTTTCCAAGTAGTGGCTCATAAGAAAAGGAAGCCACAATTTAGTTAAAGGGCAATATATATAATGAGGGTAGATATAAAATGCCATCTAGCATGCTTTTTAATGAGTTTTAATGTATTCAACAAACACAGCTGAAAGGTGGAATTCAGAACAGAGACAATCAGAAATCGGGCAAACTAAATCCAAGGTTTGTATTGTCAGTCTTAGAAGCTGCTTCGTACTGGCACAGAGGAGTAAGGTAGTCTGCTTAGTCTACAAATTATAATGAAAAAAAAAGGAAAAATAGCAATTGCCCAGTTATCTATTCTCTCTGGAGGAGTAAGAGTCAACTTTAAAATTATTTGTATTAAAAATAACTGATATAAAGATGACCCTGCAGGTGAAATTCAAAAAATTAGAATATCGTGCAAAAGTTCATTTATTTCAGTAATGCAACTTAAAAAGTGAAACTAATATATGACATAAACTCATTACATGCAAAGCAACATAGTTCAAGCCGTGATTTGTCATAATTGTAATGATTATGGCTTACAGCTCATGAAAACCCCAAATCCACAATCTCAGAAAATTAGAATATTGTGAAAAGGTTCAATATTCTAGGCTCAAAGTGTCCCAATCTAATCAGTTAATTAGGCCATAACACCTGCATAGGGTTCCTGATTCTTTAAATGGTCTCTCAGTCTGGTTCAGTAGGAAGCACAACCATGGGAAAGACTGCTGACCTGACAGTTGTGCAGAAAACCATCCTCCATAAGACACCCTCCATAAGAAAGGAAAGCCTCAACAGGTAATTGCAAAAGAAGTTGGATGTTCCCAAAGTGCTGTATCAAAGCACATTAATAGAAAGTTTTGTGGAAGGGAAAAGTGTGGAAGAAAAAGATGTACAAGCAGCAGGGATGACCGCAGCCTGGAGAGGATTGTCAGGAAAAGGCCATTCAAAAGTGTTGGGGACTTTCAAAGGAGTGGACTGAGGCTGGAGTCAATGCATCAAGTGCCACCACACACAGACGGATCCTGGACATGGGCTTCAAATGTTGTATTCCTCTTGTCAAGCCGCTCCTGAACAACAAACAGAAGCATCTTACCTGGGCTAAAGAAAAACAGACCTGGTCTGTTGCTCAGTGGTCCAAAGTCCTCTTTTCTGATGAGAGCAACTTTTGCATCTCATTTGGAAACCAAGGACCCAGAGTCTGGAGGAAGAATGGAGAGGCACACACTGCAAGATGCTTGAAGTCCAGTGTGAAGTTTCCACAGTCTTGTTGATTTGGGGAGCCATGGTCCACTGTGCTTCATTAAGTCCAGGGTCAACGCAGCTGTCTACCAGCAGATTTTGGAACACTTCATGCTTCCTTCCGCAGATGAGCTTTATGGGGATGCTGACTTCATTTTCCAGCAGGACTTGGCACCTGCCCACACTGCCAAAAGCACTAAAACCTGCTTCAATGACCGTGGGATTACTGTGCTTGATTGGCCAGCAAACTTGCCTGACCTGAATCTATGGGCCATTGCCAAGAGAAAGATGAGAGACATGAGACCGAACAATGCAGAAGAGCTGAAGGCCGCTATTGAAGCATCCTGGTCTTCCATAACACCTCAGCAGTGCCATAGGCTGATAGCTTCCATGACATGCCACATTGAGGCAGTAATTGCTACAAAAGGGGCCCAAACCAAGTACTGAGTACATATGCATGCTTATACTTTTCAGAGGTCCAATATTGTTCTATGTACAATCCTTGTTTTATTGATTGCATGTAATATTCTAATTTTCTGAGATTGTGGATCCAAATTTTATGAGCTGTAAGCCATAATCAATTATGACAAATCACGGCTTGAACTATCTTGCTTTGCATGTAATGCGTCTATCTCATATATTAGTTTCACCTTTTAAGTTGCATTACTGAAATAAATGAACTTTTGCACGATATTCTAATTTTTCGAGTTTCACCTGTAGTGCAAAAAAAAAAAAAGTGGATTTCCAGATGTTGGTGAACAATTCCTAGTACCATTAGTTAATATTAAGTAATGTAAGTATTCTAATGTAACTGAGATTCTTAATAACTGGACTACTGTATTCTCAATGTTTTTCCTCGTCTTAAAGTACAGTACCAGAGATTTTACTTCTTAAGCAAGCAGTTGATTATATATCCTTCATTGTTCCCCACTTTAAATTGTAAATTAGTAAACAATTTAATTCACTAAATTACAATTTAGTAATCAATTTAGTTAACGTCAACTAAAATGAAAGATAAGAGACAAGGATTTCTGAATTCACCCTTTATAAAGGGCAAAAATAAAATATGTGCAATTTTTCCAATTATTTACACGCAACATGATTGAATTCCTACTGTTGTACAGTATTGTTTCTAAGTCATGAATGGCCAACTCCATGAATGGTACAGAAAGTTTTGAAGATTCTGTTTGTCCATTTTTTAAAAAGACACAGAAACCGATTTTTTTCCATTTTCCAAGAAAAAAAACAACCCCCATCTTCCAACCCCCCTATATGACTTATTATGAGGGTATCATTAAATCCCATTTTAACGGTAGGGATGCACATAGATTGCATTCTGATTTTTAACACTAGATAACACAGGGTTTGGTTCCTTGTCATTTCAGAATTTCCCCCTTTTTGAAGTTTAAAATTTTTTCTTTCTGGGTTTTGATGACCGCAGACTAGCCCGGCTTTCCCCTTAACAATATCTGAAAGAAAACGTGTACGCCTTGCTGGAGAAATAATCTATTTATTTTTATTCACTAATTGCTCCATAGATGCTTACAAGTATTTGCTTGCAGAGTTTCCTGCGGGAGGGGCCTTAATTATTTTAATGCGCTGCAATAACTACAATTGAGGAAAAAAACAAAACCCGACGAATCCTTTGGAGTTAACTTTTAAACACGTGCTCCGCTCATGAAAAGCGCCCCCTCCGGAGACCAGGAACCGGAAGGCGAGTTTTTGAAGCTTTTTCATCTTCCACGGAGGCATGAAAACCCGGAAGCGGAAGTGGCGTGCTTGACGGCTGCTGCTGCTGCTGCTGCTGCTGCTGCTCCTCCTTGTGGAAGAGGAGCCCGAGGTGGTTTTTTTGCAAGGTTCTTAGCCGGGGGTTTATTCTTGTCATTTGCAGAAGGAAGCTTTCCCGTCTCTATGCTGGCTGCCTTGGGATTGACGCCGCCATTATGATGCCTGTCTTCAAAAGCAGCCGCCGCGACTTTGCCTTCGGGCCGTGGAAACTAACGGCCGCTCGGACCCACATCATCAAGTCAGCCGATGCCGAGAGGTGCGATGGAGCGTGACTGGGGTGGGGGTGGGGGAGTGGGGGGCGACCGTCGCTAAGAAGGACGGTGGGCTGGGCGCCTGCCTTGCGCTCGGGAAGCGTCACAAAACCGCTCGCTGATTTTAGCCTGGTACAGGTAGTCCTCGACTTACAACTGTTCGCTTTGTGACCGTCCACTGGAAAAAAAAGACCCTTTTTCACACTTACGACCGCTGTGGCAACCCCGTGGACGGGTGATCTCAAAATGCGTGGCTATTGACTCACATTTATGACGGTGGCGGTGCCTCTGGGTCATGTGATCCCCTTTTGCAACCTTCCTTCAAGCAAAGTCAATGGGGAAATCAGGTTCACTTAACAACCGTGTGACTAATTTAATAACTGCAGTGTTTCACCTAACAAATGGGGCAAGAAAAGTCGTAAAATGAGGCAAAACTCACTTAACAAATTTCTCACTTAGCAACATAAATTTTGGGCTCAGTTGAGGACTACCTGTAGTGGTTTGGCTCACTCTTCGGTGCTTAATGGCCCTGAGACATATAGATTTTGTAGATCAACACATCGGAGGACTGGGTGGGAGGGGCGGTTTCCATACCTGGGCTTCAGAAATATGGGCAATTGTTAAATGGCAACAGAGAATTGCATTTTCTGGCTCTCTGTTGTCAGTTAAGGGTGCTGAAGTTTGGAGTCATAGGTTTGCAGTCCAGGTTTGCAGTCATAGTTGCAGGAACAGTTCAGTTTGTTGAAGCAGGAGCTTCCTAAATATCAAGTGTACTTCCCTTAAGGAGGTATAGGCAGAGTGCAGGGGAGCTGTGAAGAACCTTTTTGTTTCATTGTACCTTTCATTGTACCTTTGGGAAATCTACCTTTCCCAAAATGCCATTCCCTTTTTTCATTATTCATCTGTGTTCATTTTGGTCTTTGAATTTTTAGGGGAATGTTTAGGTTAAGATTACACAAAAAAGAGGTGTGATGGCAAAGTGTTGAGGAATCGCTGTTATAAATGCATGACAATCCCTCCTCCCCCATAATTCTGCAAAGATTTGTAACAATATGAAGCAAATGGAAAGTTGAGGCATGGCGATTGCAGAGTGCAGTCTACTACCAAGATATTGGGGTTTTTTCCCTGGCTTCTCATCTACAAAGTTAGGGTATTTGGAGTATATTCTAGTGGAGTATTTGGTATTATGATTAGTGGTTCCTTTTTTTATATATATAATTTTATTTTTATCACAACAACAAAAACAAACAAAACCTTTCTGTTCCACAGTGTGTCAGTTGAGTACATATTTCTTCGTGCACAAAATAATATCATACATATTTAACTTGTATATATTTATAATTGTTCTTTTCAATATTTTATATCAGATAAGTCACTTATTCTATTATCCTTAACTTTTAAGTCCTTAACTTTCAATAATATATTTCAAGTTCATATTCTTACTCTAACTCATCTATTTATCAGTAACAATATGTTATACTATACTTATATAATTCAATTCTTTACTCTTCTGTCCAACCATTTATAAAATAGATTCCAAATTTTATAATCGTCTTTTTCTTCTTGTTCTCTAATTGCCATTGTTAATCTACTCATTTCTGCACATTCCATTATTTTCTTAATTATTTCCTCTTCTGTCGGATTTTTTACATTTCTCCAATTTTGTGCAAATACAATCCTAGCTGCTGTTAAAATATTAATAATCAAATACATTATTTCTTTGTTATAATCCTCAGGCAAAATTCCCAATAAAAATGTCTCTGGTTTTAAGTCTATAGGTTGTTTTATCATCTTCTCCAGCCACATGTATATTTTAGCTCAATACTTTTTAGTCTCTGTGCATGTCTATCACATGTGGTAATATGATCCTGGTAACTTCTGGCACCTTCAAACATCTTAGCAATTGTCATTGGGGATAGATACCACCTGTAAAGCATCTTATGCAAATTCTCTTTATAGGCCATTGACATAGTTAATTTATAATTTCTAGACCATAATATCTGCCATTTATCAAGATCTATTCCATATCCAAAATTTTCCCCCTATGCAATCATTGTTTCTTTTACTTGTTCATCCTCTAACTTCACTCCTAATATATAACCATATAATTTTTTAATCAACTTCTCATCAGTGCCTGTTAGGATTTTATCTAATTCAGTCAATTCCTCATAAAACCCAGTCATCTTAATGTCTTTTTCATACCTTGTATGTATTTGTACCAATTTATATTTATCCCTTGTAAATCAAATTCTTGCTTTGTTTTGAGTTCACCCTTTTCATTTAAAATTTCATCATATCTAATTATGTGTTCCTTTTTAAATAGCTGTGGATATGAAAAGGCTTCTAAAGTTAATAACAGACAGAAAAACGATTAGTGGTTCCTGTGTAGAATACTTTTCAGACTTTTAAAATTAAGCTGTTTTGTTAGATCTACAAAATCACAGTTTCTCTTATATTCCCCCATATCAATCTATTTTCAATATACTTTTCATTCTGTTTAACAATCCTTTCTAAGGAGTGCTCCAAATATATGAATAATGTTGTGTATATGTTTTTATGTGTGTTTTCTGTTAAACTGTGATTGGCTTCTATTTGACAGACCATGTTAAATTACTGTTCTGATTTCATATTCATTATTAGAATTACCTTCTTTATACCCAGCAATCTTAACTTACATCTTCCATAAAAGTGAATCACAACTCTATCATTTGGCAAAAAAAAGAGGGAAGCCGTCCAACTGCTAATTTCAAATATGCAATAAATGTATATTAAAATATTATATGGTTAAGTATAGATCTTTATTTTATAAAATCAGTGTATAGCTCCAAAATAATCTAATCTTGTGTCTGTGTAGGTTAGCTGAAGAACTGCACTTGCCATGTGTTCCGGAAATGATGTTTGGTGACAATATCCTAAGAATTCAGCATGAATTGCTCTTTGGCATAGAGTTCAATGCAACCGATGCTTTAAAATGTGTAAATAACTCCCGAGGAATGGTTAAAGTTGCTTGTGCAGAAGAGTGGCAAGAAAGCAGGTAATAGCATATTTATTTGTGTTGTTTTTTAAAGATAGTATAGCTAGATGGGCCCTAAGGAATGGTTTTGCAAGCAGTGTAATTCTTCAGATCTGATTCCTCAAAACTGCTTCAGAATGTATACTTGTCTGAAATTCTTTTTAAAGCAATTTCTTATTTTGTTTATTTTGTCCCATCTCATTGAAGCAGATAAGCCAGTGGTGGCGAATCTATGGGACCTGTGCCACAGGTGGCACGCAGAGCCCTCTTTGTGGGCATGCGTGCCATCGCCCCAGCTCAGCTCTACAGTGCTTGCCTCCCACTGGCCAGCTGGTCTTTGGGTCTCTGCCACGCATGCGTGGGGGTGAGGTGCATGCGCAAAGGGCACATGCATATGTGCAGGGCATGCTCATGGATGGGCGTGTGCCTTGCATTTTGGGTATGCGCACTTGCACTTTGGGCACTCAGTGCCCAAAAGGCTCGCCATCACTGAGATAAGCCATGTAATCCTTATAAGACTATAAAGAGTGTAGGCAGGTGCTAAATGTGCAGTAATGTACTCTGAAGCATCTTTTGGGAATCAGTTCTGAAAGGTTGCAGTTCCTTCATACATATAATCTGTATTGATGTTGTTCACTTGATATGTGATCTTGACAGTTATTTAGCCTTCCTGTTTTTCCTATGTTATGAATGGTACTTGTACTTTTTAAAATAATCTTTAATCTTTACATTTAATTTTTTTGAAACTATGGTTAATCTGTTAACTCTGAAGCACATGTGGTCTTGTACAAAAATAATTGTTCAAATAGATTGTCTGATGAAGAATCCTGATGAAATATTCAATACTAGCTTGATACCTGTGCTTCGCTATGAAACTATGTGGTCAGGCTTAGTTTTTGGGGAGGAAAATAAGGGGGGGGGGAAATTATGTCTCTGCCTACCAGCATCCATCGGTATTCATCTGACTAGCGTACTGTCAGTGTGTGAGAGAGTTGAGGGCTGTTTGGAAACTGAAACAGTATTTGCTGTGTGAGCAAGAAGGAGACAGCAAGGAACCTGGACATGGCTTAGTTCAAGTATTCAGTACTAAAGCTGCTTGGTGCTGTGAAAGTAAAACTGAAACTAAAACTCTCCTCTCCTCTGCTTGTGATTTGCATTTGGAACAGATTTCTTTTCAGGTGGGGAGGGTGAATAGAACTCCTTAGCATCAGAGCGTGTTAATAATAATATACAAATACTAATGCTCTGATTCTCATTTCGAAAAATCATTTCTTAGTAAGTACCTAGAAGCCAAGAGGAATATACGTGCCAAATTTCAAATTTGTAGGCTTTACAGTTCTGGAGATTTTGTGATGTTGTGTGAGTGGTATTTCACTTTTATATACATAGATTTTGCTTCATCTTTGAACAGCTACCGTTTGATCCTATATATGTTTCTTCTAGGTGATTAAAACTGAATTTACTTCAAGGTCACAATGCACTTTATTATAAGTATAGGCATAAAAGCAGGAAGAAGTGAAGGAGGCTACATTACTTCTATAGCTAACATCTTTGAGGAAAAAAATAAGCAATTTTTAACAGTATTTAAAAAATACTGAAATGCCTTACCACATTTTCTCTCTTAACATATTAAATCTATCAGTTTACAGGTGCATATTGATTTATAGAATCATAATTTATGTATTTTGTAAAATAGATGTGTAGAAATACTTTTTGCCTGCTCCTGTACCTGATACGTGATATTTGTCTTTTCCTGTAGGTCTGAGCCCGAACACACAAAGGAAGTTGTTAAACCATATGATTGGACTTACACAACAGACTATAAAGGAACTCTCCTCGGTGAAACACTAAAGCTAAAAGTATGATTGTGATGGTCAACTATTTGCAAGAATGAATTTGTTGAACAATTGGGCAATCAATTAAACAAGAAAGAACGTTTAATTTCTACTGTGTTGTTCTAGGTTTCTTCCACAACAGACCATATAGATACAGAGAAATTAAAAGCCAGGGAACAGATAATGTTTTTTGAAGAAGTGCTCTTGTTTGAAGATGAACTTCATGATCATGGGGTTTCAAGTCTAAGTGTCAAAATTGTGAGTCCAGTAATCTTTTACATGTTTCTTCCATAATTGTATAAAATGCAGAAAAATACAGAACGGAGATAATCACAAACCTATTAATAATATCCCTTGAATTCATTTCTTTTGGGCATTTTCATGTTTAAATTTCAAATAAGCTTTTATTTAGTTGGAATTATAGAATTAAATAATTGATTAAATTATATAATGATATAAACAAGTCATTGGAAAAATGGAATAGATTGAGTTTAAAATAATGCAGGAAACGCTTTCTATACAAAAATGTATATCATATGGTGATCAGGTAACATTTTGTAAGGCTTTTGATTCAGAGTGAGCGTGGGACAGTTTTTAATTTTGTGAACATTTCTTTTGTAGGAAAAATGTTTCCTTGTACAAGAGAGCAAGATTTTATGTGCTTTATACACTACAGGTAGTCCTTGACTTACAATAGGGTATCAAACTCGCGATGATACATCATGTGATGTATCACAACTTTACCCTCCTTTGCTAAAGCAGATGGGTGTGGGCCAGCGCTTGATGCATCTGGGCCACAAGTTTGGCGCCCCTGACTTACAACCACAATTGAGCTCAAAATTTATGTTGCTAAGTGAGAAATTTGTTAAGTGAGTTTTGTCCCATTTTACAACTTTTCTTGCCATTCTTAAGTGAATCACTGCAGTTGTTAAGTTAGTAACATGGTTGGTAAGTGAATCTGTCAGAAGTTTGCAAAAGGGGATCAAGTGACCCTGGGGCACTGCAACCGTCATAAACGTGAGCCAGTGGTCAAGCATCCAAATGTAAATCACATGATCACGGGGATACTACAATTGTCATAAGTGTGAAAAATGGTCATGTCACTTTCTTCAATGCCATTGTCACTAAACAAACTGTTGTAAGTCAAAGACTATCTGTATACTAAAAATAATGTCTTCATTGCTGACATTTTCCCAGACTTATAAAAATACAACACTGATTAGCTTACAGATTTTCCTGATCACGTATTTGTGCCTGCAGGAAATTAAGATCTATTAAAATTATCTTCCTAAAAGTTATTGGAAAGGTTATATTATTTACTAATGAAGGCTTTTAAGACATTTACCATGTTTTTAATTACCTGTTAGAGTAATCTGTTTTAAATGTGTGCAAGTGCAAATTATTCTTGCTATGTTTGACAGAGAGTAATGCCTTCCAGCTTTTTTGTGCTGTTGAGATTTTTCTTGCGAGTTGATGGAGTTCTTATTAGGATGAATGATACAAGACTTTATCATGAGGTAAGACAATCTTAATGTGAACATTTGGTTGGAAAAGTCATAAAAAACAGGGTATACCTTGAAGTTTAGAAGTGACATTTTATTTGCTAATACATGTATGCTATTGTCTCTAATTTTAAAAATAAGATAGTTGCAGCTTTGTTAGCTGTTTCTTTGTACAAGTAGTTGAATAGACTTCTAAAAATCCCAAAGGTATCTCTGTCTTGTCCTCTGTACATGGCTTTTGTTAAGTAGACCTAAAAATATTAGGAATGAGATATGCAGTTATTAGTTTTTTTTAATTTATATACTGTCTGTAGTACAATTATTGTAATACTGTGTACATTCAATCTGTACTGCCTAGAACAGTATATTTTAAAATAAAAATATTCAGCATATAAATATATACTACCCAAGTACATCCTGTGTGGATCTTACCAGATTAAAGATGGCATGTGGATCCACGTATACTATGTTATATACAGCATTTCCAACATGAATGTAGTTGGCTTATTACTATTTGTAAATAATACTAAATTTACAGCATCTTTATTGGATATTATAACAGGATTCTGTGTTAGTGTTGCAATAGATTAGTTTTGTACAACAGAAGTTTCATTTTATTTGAAACTATATGTACATATTAAATCTGTTTCAATGTTATGAAAATACATTTTATCTGTTTTTTTAATAGGCCAATAAATCATACATGTTGCGGGAATATACCTCTAGAGAAAGCAAAATATCAAATCTAAAGGTATTAATATTTAAAACATTTTTTCTGTCAGAATTAGTAAATTTTTGGTGCAAGTTATTTTGTGGATACTGAGAAACACCATTATTTTAAGCATTAATTAAATTTATATGAGAGAAATGAAATTAACAATAATCTATGTTTAGTGCTGCAATATGTTAAAATCAATTAAATAAATCTCAGTAATTAAAAAATAGGAAATTGTGGAATAGAAGTTACTTAATAGTATATTTTGTTCTTAAAATTTTTTTTGTTTAAAATGTTTCCACTAGTGCTAAAGAAACACATTTTTCCTTTTGGAAAAATACAAATATATATTTTACCTGATATCCTAGTTATATTCTATCAGTGTCAGCATTCCAAGTAATTCACCCATGAAGTGAACATGGTTGAGGCCATCTTGGAGACTTCATGGTTGCCATTGAGATTACTTTGTGGGCCCATTTGTATTATTTAAACAATCCAACCATTTCCTCTTCCAGTTTGTTCACTTTTGTGTCATAACTGGCATGCTGCACAGCCTCCTGCCCCATTGTGGCTGCGAAGAACTGGGCTTCCCATACATAAGATATCCTCCAAAAATAAGCCTTAGTGTTTATTTTGGAGCCCCTCCAAAATATAAGACTGGGTCTTATTTTTGGAGAAACACAGGTAGTAGCTTCTCATTCTTGTGATCACTCAAGTATATTTGTGTGTGCAGGGCTAGTACGTAAAAACTTAATCACATTAAATTCAGATATTCCTGTTAACCACTAAAACATATTTTAATGACAAAAATTATATTTATTTAAAACATTAAACTTCATTTCCTGTTGTAATTATTTATCCCATTATTTAATCTCAAACACACGTCTGAGCCTCTAACATTATGTAACATGGGAAAAAAATTGGTAAACAAGTTGTTACAATTCATATGATTCTGTTTATAGTGGTGTATATTGCTAATGCTAAATGTCTATTGCCATTATTATTGCTTCAATCTACTGGCTGTGGAATAGTGCATGCCAGGCATTGAAGCTCATTTCTGCTCTCAATCACCTCACAAAATTCCAGAAAAATGCAAGCCAGTTCTAGCACACCACCATCTCTAGTGTAATAATTTGTTGTGTAGTGCAGTTGCATTCAGAGTTGTAAATGCAAGTTGGGAGACCATATAAATAAGTAAGCAATTTCATTTTACTTTTCTCTAGCTATCCAGTTTTCAGAATAGAAGTGGAAACATTGAAAAATAAAAATCTGTAATTAAAATAATATTTACCAAACATGTTAATATAATGTTAACTTACATTTATATTTAGATATACTTTCTCTTTTGTTGTTCTCTAATGATCTCTCTCCAAATTCAAGCACATTCCCCCAACATTGTTCACGGATCCTAATGAGATTGCCCAGTATTTGCCTGTCAAAGAAAATATTTGTGAGAAGCTGGAATTTCCTGAGAACTCATGCCATGAATCTGCAGCTGCACCTGAAGGCACTTAATGAGATCGGCATAATCTGATGAACTTGATATAGACCCTGTTCTTATCTTCTTGGCCATTAGCACTGAAGATGCTGGATAAAGATCTGTCTGGAGGCCTGGCTAAATGTTCTCTAGCCTTGGGTGGGTGAAGCTAACTTGGAAGTTTTTCCTGTACTTTCATTGTGTCTGTTTTGAATATGCTCTGATCTAATAGAAAACTGCCATTACTGATATTGGAGAGTAAGTCCCCAAATAAGGATCAGTTATATTAAAGTATGCAACATTTCAAGAAAGACTGCACAGATGTTCAAAAATCAAAACAAAATAAGAGTCCTTTACAAGCGCAGTAACTTTTATAGATGTTTTAACATAGTCTTTTGTTATAAAAGGACTTGTGTTTCATATAGTGTGAAAGAGAATAATTATGTTTCTTCTCTAGGTTAAATTTGATTACTTTGTTGAGGATCATTGATGCTTGATCAGTTCATGAAATTTAATGTATATTGAATGGTATTGTTAATCCTCATTTACTTGCTGCCTGTCTTATCAGATACAAGCTTTGTTACCTTCTAAACAAAGCTAAATCTTTCATAAATTGTAATCAAACAAGCTACATTAGTACAGATAACAGGATCCATTTTTGCCCACTTCCTACCATTCTGTCATAAATTAGATGTTAATATGGTATCACAGATGGAAATTGTTAATGCTCCTTGTCGACCTGAAGTTACTTCCTTTTAAAAATATTGCAAGTTTATATTGATTAGATTGTTAACAAAAATTAAATTCTTATAATATTTGTAATAGAATATAAAGTATTAATATTGGGCTATTGCAACTAGGACAGACATGGATACTTTAAGCTACCAGTATTTTTGATAAAAATGATTGCACATATATTTATAAAATAGTTACCAAACTGCACCATTCATATATTTCTTAAAGAAGATGAACTGAACTGTTGTAGAGAAGTTGTTTCATCCGTTTATTTCTAAAATTCATGTTCAGTTCTCACAATAGTCCCTGCTATTTTTTGGCAACAGGCAAAATAATATTTGAGATTTTGGTGATAACAGAATAATACATTTTAGGTTTGTTTTTATATATTATAGACTCATAAAAATCTCAGTCTGGTACATTACAAATATATACATTTCTCTGATATGGTTTTTCTTATCTATTGCCTCAAGGGAGAAGAATTTGAAAATCAATGATTGCTTGTTTGTCCTTTTTTATTCTGTGTTTCAAATTTCTAAAAAAATTTCTTGAAAAAGCCAAATAGCTAACACTTTTCAGAATTACTAAGATAAGACGGTCTAATTCAGTGTCCACAAATTGCATTGGACATTATGCAGTGTGTTAAGAGTAAAGATGTATAGGATAGGTTCTGGGTTTTTAAACCATAAAGCCTTAACTGAAACAGCATTGTGTTTACTACTTTAACATACATGCATAGGTAAGAATTCAGTCAGGCGGGGATTTGGTTTGCTTTGAAAAATGATTATGTTTTTCCAATACATATGTTGACTCCAAAATTTTTAAGAAAAGTACATTAATCCTATATCTTGAGACAGCTTCAATTGTTTATACTGCATAGCTAGTCATGATTGCTGGTCGTATAACAAAATAGAACTGATAATTAGACTACAAAAGTTATTGGGATAAAATAGGAGAAGAAATAAGAAGCAAAAAGTTTTGAAAAGCAAGGCCAAACAACACATTTATATTGTAGACAAATATAAAATTAGTTACATTGTAATATTTCTTTCAAGAAGCTAAATTTATTCTATTCGTCATATAACAAATATACAATATTGCATATAACTATCAAATTCAGACCAGAGAGGGAGAGAAAACTGGATCCTTATTCCTGTATCATGCATGTTCTACTTGACATTTAACAGTAGTGAAATCTCCTGTGTGGGATTTGTGTTTGTAAACATTTCTTTGTGAAATTAAGCAAATTCATACCTTCAAAAGGTACAATATACCATCAATATTTACAACTTTGAAGTTAATGGAAGCTATATTGTACACCCCTTCATTTCAATAACACTTGTGCAGAACTATTTACTAAAATTGTACTCGTCAGCATGTAAAAGGCTTATATTGTTTAGTCAGAAACATGTAATGGTTTGTGTTCAGTCACAAAATAAAAAAGTTGCATTTAGCATCTCACTTTCATTTTAGATATTTCAATAAGAAAGGCCTTTTTTAACTTAAAAAAATATTTACTTCAATTTGATTTTCTTCAGATTTGTTGGCATGTAATTCTTGTAATAGAGAACCAGTTTGATGTAATGGTTAAAGCATCAGGCTAGAAACTGGGAGACATGAATTCAAGTCCCAGCTGGGTGACCTTGAGCTGGTCAGTTTCTGTCCATGCTAGGAAGGAAGCAGTGTTAAACTACTTTTGGGAAACTGCCAAGAAAGCTGTAGGACATGTCCAGGCAGTCTCTGAGAATTGCACACAATGGCATGGAACAAAAAAAAAATCTTGTAATAGTGGGGTTGATCTGACTTGCTTCCTTGGCTGTCCATGGAGAAGAAACTCTTAACTCACAAACTTCTAAGGGTGATGATCAATATTATTTTGCTCAATGGATATTCTCAACAAGTCTAGACAACTTGGTGGAAAGTCAGTGATGGGGAAGACCATACATTACTGCTAATCCATACCTTAATTCCAGAATGGTATTCCATTCCTGGTTTGTCCATTATTTCACCCTGCTGGATAGAGTAGAATGGAGTTTAATATCCTCTGGAGAACTCTTGCTTAATTGTAGCTAACCTTCTAGTTCAGGACTATCAAACTTCCAGCCCGCAGACAGGATGCATCACATGCTACGCCCACGCCCGGTTTAGTGAAGGAAGAAAAAGTCTCGATGTGTAAAGTGACGCCGCCCTGACATAGCAAGTTTGGCACCCCGTTCTAGTTCAAATAGTTATTGATAATTTATACTGTACAATATGTTAAGGTACCGTATATACTCGAGTATAAGCCGAGTTTTTCAGCCCATTTTTTGTGCTGAAAAAAACCCCCCTCGGCTTATACTCGAGTCAGATTCCCCTCTGAAAAAAAAATGGTGTGGAGCTCCGGAGCTGGGCAGGCGCTTCCCTGCTTCCGTGTTTCCTTTGCAACTTTTAAGCATGGGGGTAATCGGAAGCAGAAAAGTTCTTGCATGAGGATATATTGTTTTTTCTTTTTTTAACTGTTTTTAGGGGGGGGGGAAGACCCACCGTCATGTGAGAATGCTCAGACACGAAATCTATCCGCCCGAAAATAAGTGTGTGTGTGTGTGTGGGGGGGGAATTTTAACAGAGGGAAGATTTAGGGAGAAGGCAAAAGCTACGGAAGATCCTTAAGGGGAAACTGAGGGGGAGACTCACCCTTGGTCCAGATGAGCCCCCTTCCCTGCCCCTAAGGAAGCAGAGGCAGCCAGCAAGGGCAGGCAAGTCCCGCTTCACATTCTCTGTCCGTCCTCGCTCCCACCCAAAGCCACAAAGTCCCCCAATCGCGCAGCCCAGAATCGCCCTCCCCTCAGGGGGTAGCAACGACGCCCGGTTTTTCCCGAGACAAGAAGCTCCGCCGTGCAATGAAAGCGCCCTGGCTCTAGGCTCGCGGGCTCAGAAAACAACGCGAGCCGAGGTCGGTTCGGCTCTGCTCGGCTTCTCCAACATCCGGCACCGCCCTGTTCTTTGTGCCGGGCCCGGCAAGTCCGAGCAGCCAGCGCGTGGAGCAGGGCGGCGCCGGAGATCGTTGGCTGCCTCTTTCGCAGCACGGGAGGCCTCCCCCGGCTGGCCAGCTGCTCTCCTCCTTCTCTGCCTGTTTGTTCTGTGTGACCGAGGAGGAGGAGACCGGCCGGCTGGTTGGGGGAGGCTTTCTGCACCGAGGGAGGCGGCTGTTGGTGTCCGGCTTTGCTCTGCTTCTCCGGCGCGGCCCTGTTCTTTACTTGGGCAGCCGGGCACCCGCAACGGGAAGGGAAAGGCAAAAAGCGCTTTCCCTTCCCAAGGCGACGGGAGGCCTCCCCCGGCTGGCCAGCTGCTCTCCTCCTTCTCTGCCTGTTTGTTCTGTGTGACCGAGGAGGAGGAGACCGGCCGGCTGGTAGGGGGAGGCTTTCTGCACCGAGGGAGGCGGCTGTTGGTGTCCGGCTTTGCTCCGCTTCTCCGGCGCGGCCCTGTTCTTTACTTGGGCAGCCGGGCGCC